TCTGTATTCCTCCAATTCTGGCCTCTTATGTGCATCTCTGAATCTTAATCAATCCACTATTGGTAACCATCCCCTCAGCGGCCTGAGTTCTACGCTTTGAAATTCCCTCTACAAACCTCCAATTCTGCATTTATCTTTTCAATGTTATTGGCCATTATCCATGTTGCTATGCAACCACTTCTCTGGGTGAAAATATCTCCATGTTTCCTAATAATACCTTATACTAGGGATTAACCTCACGGTATTGCCTAAGCGCTCAAATGCCTCCTTTATTTCTGGGCAGCTAGAGGACATGTATTACGTGAGATGTAATCTGAGTAGTGTTCTGATCAACTTCCTTGGAATTGTATTGTAATGTTTTGGCTCCTGTAGTTCAACCCTTCCTCAGCTGCACTGCATTAGGCAGACATTTTAAGCATCAAATCTGCAAATGTTTCCCATTTAGATCTTAACTGTTTCAGTATCATTCAGGGAATATATAAACATCACACACTGTTCCACTTATTGGCATTACACATCGTCGACCATTTTTTATGTATATATATTATATAGATATTTGCAATTTGCACTGAGTTTCTGATGCCGGTCCATTGATGTGAATGGAAGATGGCAGAGATTTACAGCTCAGTACCTTCATCCTGCCTCAACGTGACCCCTCCAACAAGCACCCATTATTTTCCATGGTGGTAAGAGTGTGTGACAGCATGTGTTCCTAACACAGGCTGACATTACAGATAGCAAGTGGTGGATGTTCACCTTCTGCCATACTCCCCTGCAGCTCTTCTACTGAGTGTGGCTTCACATTCACTTTTGGCTGGATTGACTAAGAACTCCATTTGTCTTTCTGTAATTTTACCACAAAGGAATCAGTTCATCAGATCTTTGGCCCTGTCCTGTAATCTTTGGTCACCATTCTTGGCTCCTACTTGCCTTATTTTATGGTTATTGACCCAGCTGCTCTGGTCTGTCCTGATCCTGTTCACTGGATGCTAACCCTGCTCAATCCTTCAGCTCATTTCTTAGGCATTCCAGAAGATGTCTCCAAATCGTCTACAGATTTGAGTGGAACAAGAAAAAGGAACCTCTCATCATGAATTTGGTCAACAGGTCAGTGCTGTACGTGACCTGAGAAACAAAATGTTCAAGACATTCAAAAGATTTTGCTTTACCATTTTCTTTGAACCCAGATGAGAATATTGAAAATAGCAATGAAAGGAAATTAGTTGGCTGGACTGCCAAGCATCAGCCATTAATTCTGAGTGTCTGTTTTTGCTTTTCAATTCTTCCAGTGGGTCATAAAGATGGTTGGATTAGTTGACCAAAGGCTGGAATGTAGAGCAATCATGATAATGTTTAAAATGCATTAATTAGACATGGGTGTTGCTGGCTAAGCCAGCATTTATAGCCTAGGAGGGTAGTTAATAGTCAACCATGTTGCTCTGGGTCTGGAGTTACGTGTAAGCCAGACTGGGTAAGGATGGCAGCTTCCTCCCCAAAGGGAGGAGTGAACCAGATGGGGTTTTTCCCGATAATCAGTAACCCTTTCACAGTCATCATGAGACTCTTTAACTGCTGATTTATTTTTGTTGAAATTCAAGATCTCTACACGCTTCCCCCCCCACCGCCCCCACCACTTTGCCATGGCAGTATTTGAACCTGGGTCCCCCACAGCATTACCTGGATTATAATAGTGATAATACTGCTAGGCCATCACCTCCCCAATGATAGAATCTCCAGAAAGAGATTTAATCACAACCAGCAACCCTATTTATCAAATGTCTTTTGGAATTGATCCCAAGCCATGGGTCTACCATGAGCTTGCTGGAGATGATGCTGTCTCAAAAGAAGTCCAGCAGATTGACCCAGGCAGGATGCTCCCTTTCTGATTTCAGCTGCTGACTGGGTTACTGTCAAACCAACACTTGCTGGGCCTATACCTTGGGTTGAAAATTGCCCTCGTGTTGTTTAATGACTGCACTCCTCAGCACTGTACTGTATTTGTTCCAGTTACTATCAAAGCTTAGATGAAGGGTGAAGACCTGTGCTGGATCTTAAAATAAAAACTACTCAGTGATTTGCACTACCTGCGCTTTCACCACAATAGCCTTGCAATTTTCTCCCTTCAAGCATGTATCCAATAAACTTCTAAAGTTATGGTGGAGTCTGTTTCCAGCTGTCTCCTCATTCCCGATCTGGCAGTGAATTCCATATCACCAGTCCTCTCCGAATAAAAGAATTCACCCCTTCTCAGCTCTAGTGCTTCCGCCAGTGACCAGCCCAACTGCTAATGAAGACTTATCATCAGCCAACATTCAGTTAGAGCATTCTCCTCTTCTCAGTCAGAAGTTATGGATTCAAGTTGAACAACTTGAAGACAAAAATCTATGGTGACAATGTGGTACTGAGGGAGTCCTGCATTGTTGTCCTCTTAGATGAGATGTAAACTGTTATCTGCTCCAAGGTGAAATTTATGTCACTAATTTGGGAAAGAGCTGAGATGGTTTTCCCAGTAACCTGCTTAAAGGTTGATGCTTCGATCAAGATCACAAAATGCTGCCTGAGCAGCATTAAAAGAGATAAGGTGTCATGCATTAAATACTGAGATCAGGCAAAGATTTATTTTCTTCTCATTAAGGGTCATGAGTCATAGTATCAGGCATTGACCATCCCTGACAACTGAGAATCTAACCATCTCTCTGTGACAATCAATTACATACTACGCTGAATCTGTACTATCAGTATTAATGGTATTCTTTGGGGGAACAGTATGGAAACAGGCCATTCAGCCCATTGGGTCCACACCGATCCTCTGAAGAGCATCCCACCCTCTATCCCTGTAACCTTGCATTTCCTGAGGCCAATCCACCTGGCCTGCACAACTTTGGACTGTGGGAGGAAACTGGAGCACTCAGAGGAAACCCACACAGATATCAGCAGAATGCGCAAACTCCACACAGAAAAGACTTGCTCACCGAGCCAGTGGGTTTGTTTGCAGACGTTTCATCACCCTGCTAGGTAATACCATCAGTGCACCCCCAATGAGGCGTAGGTGTTCTGTCCCGCTTGTTTTTTATATGCCTCGGTTTGCTGGGGTGTTTGGAATGACTTCCGGTTCTGTTTCTCAGTGGTTTGTACACCGGGTCTAATTCAATGGGTTTGTTGATGGAGTTCTGGTTTGGAATACCAAGCTTCCAGGAATTCCCTGGCGTGTCTCTGTTTGGCTTGTGCAATTATGGATGTGTTGTCCCAGTTGAATTTGTGTCCCTTGTTGTCTGTGTGTAGTGAGACAATTGAATTAGACCCTGTGTACAAACCACTGAGAAACAGAACCAGAAGTGATACCAAACACCCCAACAAACCGAGGCATATAACTAACAAGCGGGACAGAACAGCAACACTTCACCGGAGGTGCAATGATTATGTTACCTAGCATGGTGACAAAACGTTTGCAACTAAACCCACCGGCTCGGCAAACATGTCTACAACCTCATCCACAACCCAAGCTACAAATCTTCTCAAACTTTCCACACAGTCACCCGAGGGTGGAATCAAACCCGGGTGCCTGGCACTGTGAGGCAGCAGTGCTAACCACTGAGCCACCAAGCTGCCCAGTCCAATTCTATTTCTGGTTAATAGAACCCCCCAAGGATTACCATTAATACCGATAGTACAGATTCAGCGTAGTATGTAATCGATTGTCACCGAGAGATGGTTAGATTCTCAGTTGTCAGGGATGGTCAATGCCTGATACTTGTGTGGCACATGTGTTACTTTCTTCATCAGCCCAAGCCTGATGTAATCCAGGTTTTCCTGCATATGGACATGGGTTTCTATAAAGTCACAAATGGTGAATACAGTGCAACCATCTCCAATTCTGAGCTCGGGATAAGGGAAGGTAATTGTTGAAGCAACTGAAGATGGCTGGGTGTACACACTAACCTGAGGCAACTCCTGTAGTGATGTCCTGTGAGAGAGGATTAACTTCCAACAACCCTTTGGAGCTGTCTTCCTGAAAAGGTGATGGGGAAAGAGTCTTTGAATATTTTTAAGGTGGGAGTGAATAGATATTCTTAATAAGCAAGAGGGTGGAAGGTTATCAAGGGCGGGCAGGAATGTGGGTTTGAGGTTACAATTGGACGGGTCATGATCTTATCAAATGGTGGACCAGGCTCAAGGGGCTGAATAGCCTATTTCTGCTCCAATGGTCTCACTCCTCTTTGTGGGAGATTACTGCATGCAAATTGCTTCCTGCATGTCTCTGTTATTCATTCACAGGATGTGGTGTTGCTTGTAAGGCCAGTATTTATTGTCCATCCCTATGGGATGGTTTGGCAGCACACATAGGCCAGAGTAGGTACAGATGGCAGATTTCTTTTACTAAAGGAGAATTTCACCAGTGTCTACATAGTCAGCACTAGACTAACATTTTATTGAATTCAAATTTCATCATCTGTTATAGAATCCCTACATTCAACCCATTGAGAAATTCAAAGAGAATCCCACCCAGACAGCCTGTCCCTGTAACCCTGTATTTCCCGTGGTTAACCCACCTAGCCTGCACATCCTTGGATGCTATGAACAATTTAGCACGGCCAATCCATCCTAACCTGTATATCTTTGGACTGTTGGAGGAAACTCATACGGACACAGGGAGAATGTGCAGACTCCACACAGTTGCCCGAGGGAGGAATCAAACCCAGGTCCGTGGCACTGTAAGGCAGCAGTGCTAACCACTGAGCCATTGTGCCACCCTTGTTATGGTGGGATTCAAACTCCAGCACCCAGGGATTGTCAATTACTAGTCCCGGGCCATAACCCCAAGGCACTACCTCCCCACATGAAACATTTCAACTTTGACTTAACATCAAGAAGCACCTTATTGGGCTGTGAAGCACTGTGGTATCTCACATGTCCTTGAAAGATACAATTATTAATGTAGGCTTGAAGTTGTTACCGATTAAAATAAGGGGGAAATTAGCCAAAATAACCTTTTTTTTCACATTTATTTAAAGCCAATGGCAGTAAATGCAATCAGTCAAGCACAATACTGCCACATGCCTGTCATGTTGGATATGATACAGTCATTGGCAAGGTTCAATAGGACACACACATTTTGCAGCCTGACGCTGGAGGAATTCCACTGAAAATGTAGTCCCTTGTTTTTAAAAGATAAAAATAAACTGGCTTCCCAGAATACATGAAGTGGACAATTTTCTCTCGTTCCAACTCTCTGTATATAAGATTGAAGTTTTTTCTTGTAGATAAAACTGACAAGAAATGGAATCCTCTTCAAACACCACAACACACCTAAATAACATTAATCACTCCCAATAGAGCACAGAATAGCATGAAGCGTCAAGATGCATAGCTTTACATAATGAAAATACGATACAGTTTCATAACTTAATAAAAATATAACAGTCATACAATTTTTATGGGGCTTTCTAAATTTTTTGTTTTTTTACAATTTACATCGGTTATTTTTCAGGTTTTGAAGAAACTTCAAAACTGTGACAAACACACTGGGTCATTGGACACGATATAAGACAATTAATACCTCAAATCCGAGAATTACAATTGACACTTTTTTTTCAAACCACAGGCAGATAGATGCATTCATTATAATTCAGGCGTTCAACCAGACTTTATATACGGTTTGTACAATTGTTAATACAACAGGCGTGTTCCTCTCCAACACACATACTAGTGAAATTCAAAGTAAAACTCAATGTCGTAAAGTAATTGACAAAAGAAATCTTCAACTTAAACAAGGCACGTCATTGTTCATTTTTTAAAAAAGCATACAATGCTTTTTCTTCAACATTGAAAACCAAAAGGAAAAAAAAAATTAAAATGATAATCTAAAAAACATCATTTATATATATCTTATTTAAAAATGGCTTCAAAATAAAGTAGAATTCAGTTTGTGCTCGAGTTTAATCATCTTAATATATAATTTAATATAGATAGAATCTTGGGTCAGTAAAATCTCTCACCTATGCATGGGATCATTTGCAAGTTTTAGAAACATTTTACTTTTTTTTTTCAAAAGGGCGATGATGTAGTTTAGATTTCCATACCGGGAAATTCTAACGCTTTCCCTTCACAAATCTCTATTTCTGCAATGACCCAAATCTGCCACAGGGAGGCAGAAGATGCACATCTAGAACTACCTAACTGGCCAAACACTTCTAAAAAATGTTTCTAACATAACCTAACCAATAAGGCTGGTGTTATTATAATGTGTGCAAAAGCCCTTCGCGATCCTTGAGCTTACAACTGCACTAGGGAATTTAAGTAAGTGGTTGTGTGGATAAAATGTTCTTTGTTCATAACCCTTTAGCAAGTGGAGAATATTGCAGGGAGCATTTCGCCCTGTCTTGCTATTTGCTTCTTTTGTACTCTCAATCCTGAACTTTTTTGTTTTAAAACAGGCCAGACACCATGTTTAGGACAGCTTAGTACCATGGATATGTCCAGGAATTATTTGACATTCCTCAATTAATTTGAATAAGATGATTTCTAACTTAAGGGCATGTCCAGTTGGGACAACCAGTCATTTCTGCACTAAACCAAGGCGACTGTGGATACTAGATGGACAAATGGAAAATTAAAATCTCTCCACAGTGCGACTGTGGCCAATAGAACAGACTGTGGAATGTCTAATGACTTGATGCCTCCCAGTGACACACTCAGCCATTCTTGACCCAGTTATCTGGCTTAACCACCTGAATGTAACATTATAGCTGTTGCTCTATATCTACAGCAGCCATAAAAAAGAAGACAACTAAATAACAAGCCTTGTGTGTCTTTGTTTTGTTTTTAACTTGCTACACTGCGGCTAAAGACAATTGAGTAGACACCAGTTATATACAGGGGCAAGTTCGTAAAGGGGACAATGAGGACAGATAGACCTTCCAGTTTGGATTTTATTTCACTTTTTCTTGTGCGTCAGTATATCTTTCTTGCTACAGTTTTGCAGAGAAGTGGTTCTAACCAAAGACACCTCACTGGGTAAAGAAACATACTGGGATACAGTATGTTGGCCTGACTGTAGACAAAAGGACATTATGCGAGTACATAAAACACATGATGGTCTCCAGGTCCATAAAACATTGAAATTCTTGAACGGTGCGAATGAGGGACTCTTGATCAAACTGACTACAAAAAAGAAACACAAACACCTTTCAAAAAGTGGTCTGATCCATATCAATATATCGATGGCCTGGTGGGAAACATTAACTGACAACTTCAAAATCACAACACACATCAAGCACAGGATCTGAGTTCACCCAAAACAAATAAACTTTTTAAAAAATATATAATGCTTTGTACTCTGTGGAAGGAAGATAGCCTTCCGCCTTAGCAAACTAAAACTGTAAGCTTTGGCAATTCAGCTTCTCTGGCAGTGACTGAGCATCCAAACCTTTCTCTCTTACACTCCTTAAAGATTCTTTGTCTGTCTTACTAGGAACTGAGTCCTGAGAATCTCAATCAAGCTGAAAGGACGCTGCATCATTTGATAATGATAGCAGGAGAATCGAACAAACTGGTCCCCAGTGTCTAGGAGACAGATCAATGCCCATCCATTCCATTGTTCTTAATGAAGTACTTTTCCTGATGCATTCTTCAGGTGCAGAGTCTTACTCACTGAAGTGCCCTATGCTGGAACTCCCAGTGCAGTGCTGAGGGGGTGCTGCACTGTCAGAGCTGCTATATTCCAGACAGATGTTAAACCAAGGCCCTAGGAGCCATGTTAAAGATCCCGCATGGCACCATTCAACACAGAGCAGGAGAGTTATTCTAAACAATATCTACCTGGCATTCCCATTCACTAAACGCAGATGAACTACATGTCTATTCCAATGTCACATCCTCAGTTCAGTGGGTGCTGCTCTGGCCTCTTGAGTCAGAAGGCTGGAGTGTTCAAGTCCCACTCCCGATGATTTGAGCTAGGCTGACACTCTGGCTGTGCTGTCTTTCTGGCAAAATGTTAAAGGTGCAAAGTGCTGTCCACCCTCTCAAATAAATATAGAAGATTCCATGACAGTATTTTGAAGAAGAGTGGGCGAGTTCTTCCTGGTGTTCTGACCACTCACCCATGCACTAAAAAAGGATGATTTGGTCATTTGTTTTGTTATTGGGAGCTTCCTATATACGAATACAAATACCGCATTGCACACGTTACAGCATTCTCTACATTTTAAATGTACCTAAATGGCTGTAGACAGTGCAATGGCCTGAGGGTGTGAAAATATTATATTTGTGCAAAGTTCTTTCCTTCTTAAAATCTGCTAGTCACCAAGAATGCAACAAAATCCAGAGAAAGAAAATCAATGGAATTAAAATTGCTCTCTTCCAGCCCGCACCCTTTATAGCATTTGTATGAATATTTTTCACGGGTAACAAAATATTCAAGAGGATGGAATTGAAATTATTCATTTCTAAGCTCTTGAATGAGACAAATTCATGAGGGAAAAAAGAACACTCATAAGTACAAAACATTTGACTAATTATTAGAGCGAATGAGAATGACTGCATTCTGACTGAATGAAGCTCAGCAATAGTTAGCCTTGAATCAAGGACTTTATTCTAACTGTATTGACGATTGGTGACTTCGTTCAATCCAACTTTCACCTCAATCCTCCCTTCATAAGGAGGTGGCAGAAAGTTTGACTGACATTTTGTCAAACCTTGTCCTCTATCACCAAAAAATTTGTCTCTCTGTCAATGTGAAATTCAATTGTATTTTTTTCCATTTGAATCAAGAATTAATATGTTTTATATTCAGATGTTTTAATCTGTACTATTCCTCCCCACCTCCTCAACAAAAAGCTTGAATTCCAATTAAACAACATGATAGACAGGAAATAAATTATTCATTTGAATGCTGTCATTTTAGATTATTGCACCTTGTTGTGAGATTTATTTGTATCCCTGAAGGGGCTGATTCACTGGTCAAAAGTCCTTTGACACATTCCCAACTGGTCATTATTCAACTGCGAACCTGGGCCTTGATTGGTGGCTGTCTATTTCACTGCAGCAAGATTGGTGATTGACTGTAATTATTGCTCACAAAGATGTGACATGGACATTTTGCAACAGGAGAGACCGGATACTGATCAGGAGCTAGAAACCCGACTGAATAGTTGACTTTGCTGGGCCAGGGAAGCTACAATAAAGCTGTTACTCCTGAGACAGCTGCATGGAGCACTTACACACTAAACCATACAGTGGCTCAATTCCTCTGCTCTTGTGTAAATTCCTCCTTCCTCCTGAACAATCAAGTGTTGTTACATAAACATCGTACCTTCCTCTAACCCTTGAAGAATTGCTGAGTCGCCCATGCCAGTTCTAACGAAAGGTCATTGACCTGAATTGTTGGTCTGGTTTTCTTCACCCCATAGATACTGGGCATTTCCAGCATTGTTCTGTTTACACTCTCTGTTTGACCACCAATTGACAAAATTACTAATACTATTAAACATGAAACATAATAAAAAAGCAGCCCAGCCCAAATTCCATGAGCCTCTTGTCACTGTCATTGCATTCGGGGGATTAAAAAACAGCTCGAAATTTAACCATGTCCTTGTGTGCCATCTCCATCATCTCTGATGAATGTTTACAAACCTATCTTATTTCTCATGCTTACAGTGTACATATACATCTCACATTAACACCTTGTTTAAAAAAAAAGTATTCTAAGAATTTAAAGAACCTTGTGTTTGCAGGATCTCAGATCTAATGTTATAACGATTTAACCTTGCATCATTTCTGTCTGCTGTAGATCCTGAATCATTAGCCATTTTATTACTGTTTTGGTTGAAATGTGCTGTCAGTAAATTGAATCCTGCAGATCTTCGCAGATCCTGAGGTAATCAAATTGGGTTTTTGCTTTGTTTGTTTTTCATTCAAATTGTACAAACGCAAAAAAAAACAGATGGGTTCATCATGAGGAATTGTGTCTGAGACTGGTCTGGATAGGATTTTAAAGATCACTGTGCCCACTTTGAGTCCTGAGGTTTTCTTGCTGTTTACTGCTTCTCCTTCATTCTAACATGGCATCCAGTTGGTCAGCCAAGTCATCAAACATGCTGCCAATGTCGTCTAGAATGCTGCCTGCGCTCTTAACTTCAGATGTGGTCCTATGGAAAGAAAAGCCATTACAGTTCATCTGTATGAGTAATTGAAAAATAGAAAGCCTATTTATTCAGTCAGCCGAATCGTTGAGATATACTCTGTTGCAGTTATTACTTCGATATTTCAAAATTTACCCCACTTTAGAGTCTGTCAAAAAGGCAGCAGGCATTTTTAGGTGTACCTATTTCTGCCATTGAGTGTTGAGAGACAACATGATAATCCACTTAGATAACAAGGTGTAGAGCTGGATGAACACAGCAGGCCAAGCA